ATATGAATTAAAGATAACAATTTAGTTTCTCTAACTAGAAAAATATGGCTTCTTAGTTAATTTAGTTTCTGCACAAACTTCGCATTTGTTAAAATTATTAGTTTTAATTCCATGAATTAACCCAAGATTTTGCAACCTCTTTATATATGATTTATGAGCATGTCCTAATCTAGCATGCCACATGTCAAAAGAATCAATCAAGTAAGCAGAAGAAGATGCATTTTCATTAATTTCAGCAACACTTAAAACAAATAGGCCCTGATTGCAATATCCCTTCCCAATGAGAACATTGTTCTTAGTCATGACAACCTTGTCAAACTCAAAGGACACTCTAACCCTAGCTTTCCCAAGCAACACCACAGAGACTAACTTTGCCCTAATACAGGGACATATAAAACATCATTCAGTGCCAAGGTCTTTCTTGATGTGAGTTTCAGTACCACTTTTTCTTTTCCCTGAACCTTAGCAGTCAAGAGTTGGCAAGGTAGATGTGGTCTTCCCCTTCTTCAAAGGAGGTAAACATCTCTCTGTTTGCACAAATGTGCTTAGTGGCTCCTGAATCCACTACCCATTTCTTCATATCAATCACAATGAGGGCTTGAGAGACCACTGCAGCTATGACTTCATAATCACTACCATCATCTCCTTCAACCAAATTCACATTTGGCTTAGGAGGATTATCAAACTTTTGAGTAGCCCTTTTTCTGCATTGCGCCGCATAGTGCCTTGGTTTTCCACAGACAAAACAATTACCTTTCTTTTTGAACTTGGGGTTAGAGTCCTTGGATTTGTAGTTAGATTTTTTATTTTTATTATTTTTGTTTTTGGGATCATACCTCTTGGAGCGTGGTTTCGATTCCACCAGGTTTGCTTTGGCAGCTATTTCCTTTCCTTTTGTAGCTTGTATAGCCTTTCTGTTTGTGTCTTCAATTATTATGTGAGTAATTAGACTCGACAAGGACAACTGGTTCTGTTTGTGCTTTAATTGTTGTTTGTAGTCACTCCATGTCTCTGGCAGCTTTTCGATCAGTATGCCAGCTACAAACTCATCTGGTAAGTTAATCTTCTCAGCATGAAGCTCCTCCAGCAATTTGTGATACTCGTTGATTTGAAGCTTGATATCTTTCTCTTCAGTCATCTCCCATTTGTAGAGATTCCCCACTAGAAATTTTTGCTTCCCAGCATCCTTAGCAGTGTACTTGAGGATAAGAGATTCCCATATTTTGTGTGCTTCCTTATAGACACAGTACACATCGAACAGATCATTAGATAAAGTGCTAATAAGAGTGTGTCTGCAAACCTTATTAGCATGTGTCCAGATATCTTTCTGGGCCTGATCAACATTCGGGATTGGTTCAGAATGAGTAAGAGTAGCAGCTACTCCATGCATGTCAAGGACAGAGTAAACTCGCTCCTACCGCCGCCTGAAATTCCTTCCATCAAATGTCTCTATTTTTGAAGTGTCAGGGAACGGCCTAGGAATAGGAACTACTGTTGGAACAACAGTGACTGAGGCAGCATCATGGTCATTTTGAGTAGTAGTGTTGTGGGGTTGTTCCATGATGTGAATAGCTCTTAAGATTGTTGGCGGCAACACCTGCAAGATAAATAGTTCATCCGAGTCATGTCCTAAGAACGCTGTCCTTAAGAGCTATTCCACAACCACTAGTAGATAAGGATGCGGCACTTTCCAGGATTAAACGGATCCTTCCTGTAAAATAGGGTGAGCAGAACAACAGAAGATAGTAGTAAACTCAGCAGATAAATGAACAAACAAGAGGGGGAAAAGAGGAGCTTGAAAACTCTAGAGCTGTGTGTAAAACCTTAGAATGAAACAGCTTTTTATAAGCCTCATATTTTAAATGTTGGCAGCCCCCTTTTCACATTAAACCGCCAGTTTTATAAAATTGAATGCATGCCATCAATTTAGGGACGTTGCAATATCATGGACGTTGGAAGTAAATGGAGAATCCGTTCACTATTTCAAACATTTTTAATATATGATTGGTTAGTGCATTGAAGATATTTGAATGGACCTGATTTCAAATTGCTTCAACCGTTTTTATTTAAATTGAATGGACCGTACTGATAATAAAAGCCTATCGTTTTTATCTAGAATCTTCCACCGTTTGATATTTGAACTTTTCACACACACAAAATAACAAATACCCATTAAGAATTTTCAAACACTCAATCTTTAAGGCATTGAAAATCCGTTTATGATATTAAAACTCTTCAATATTTGATTTTCCTATTCCTAATAATAATAGGAAAATTTGTCCATGATTAATACTCAATTTATTTTTATCTTCCCACATTCCCAATTAATGTAGGATCCTTTCTTTGACACACCCAAAAAATATTACAACATTTGCTGTTTATGGGATTTGGGTTCAGTACGATTGCTAATGATTACAAGACAATTTGTCTCTGGGTAAATCGGAAACGCCAATATGATGCGAATGAAGTGGAACTGTATTCATTAGCCACAGGGTTGTGGAAAGATGTAGAATTTGAGAGCTTAAAAGGAACAAATATGTTTTTTAATGAAGTCACTGACAGTATTGGAACCATTATTTGGGTTGGGCAAAAACAGATTAATGAGAGTCTCATAATAGTCTTATTTGACTTAGCAATGGAGGAGTTTAGATTAATACAGATGCCTGATTTACACCCTTTGGCACTTACTTTTCCTACTACATATAACAACAAACTTGCTATTCTTTCTCATACCCCTCGGATAGGAACCTTTGATTTGTGGGTGATTGAGGAGAATACATGTGAATCTGTTGGGAGATGACCTTGTACTACGGCAGCAGCAATCTCTATCCGTACACATTTATGCCAGAAAGGACTTGGCGGAATGAAATTGTTTGCAGAGTTGATCTACAGCAGGAACTCTATTGGAGATCTGAATACGATGAAGCGAAGAAAGATGGAAGGAGTAGTTTATATTTCTTGAATCTCGCCACTAATGAATTAAAGAAGCTTGTCATCAACGATTCTAATTTTGATATTCAAATATTAACTCATGTGGAGAGCCTTGTACAGGTTGCTACTGCTGGTAATTAACCTTCACATCCAAGAACCTTGATTCTAAATCGAGTTGCAACGTCGTGAGTTTATTTTGTTGAAGTACTTTTGGTGATAAAGACTATTTGATTGTTCGTAAATATTTTTAATTAATGTCCTTTTGAGATGTTATTCAGAATGATGAATGCAGCAGATATTCATTTCCAGACATTTTTTAGCTTTTATTTGACATAGAGATATCTACATATTATATATTTGTGTGTATGTGTGTGATTTCAGGTTATTCTCTTTACTTTTCAAAGATAAGATTGCTGATGTCTGGATTACCATATCACTTGATCTGATGGACTTCAATGAAAAAATATATGTTGGTCTGCCGAGCTGAATTCGTTCCCAGGCTTTATATACACTGCCAGTCACACTATGGGAGCTGACCATGCCCGAAGTCGTTACCTTAAACCGCTTGCTTTCTCTGATTCTTTGTTTGGTCAAACATATGACACAGAACAATGTTTAATTTCGCATCAAATATGTAGGGAAAAATTAGCCACTTATGTCAGATGACTGCCAATACTTAAGTTATCATCAACTGTAGAAGAGCAAGTGAATAATTGACAATACCTAGCCAGTAAATCTTTTACAGTATCGAGTCTATTTAAATGTCAAAAGTGTCTTTAAGAGAGCTACTTTCAATTGGGTTTAATAATATTTAAATCTGACCCGATCAAATAATTAATGATATGAAAAATAACAATAACATATGACTAAAAAATAATAATAACATATGGTTAGCCTAGGTAGTACACTCTCTAAATGAAATGACAAAAAGATAAAGTATAATAATAACATTCTGTTCATGCCTAGTATCCTTTTTAACCAAATTTATTTTACTATTTATTTTTAAAATCGTCAGTTGGTGATTGATAAGTTTAATTAAGTCAGAGGAAATGGAAAAAAAAATGTTTGTTATGGATAGAGAGCAAAGACGAGCGAGTGGTGCTGTTGATAAAGGAGCAGGTCCTCAACCCTATGCATGTATGTATGAGGTTCCTTCTTTTTCTTTGATAGAATTATAAATTTGTAAAATTAGAATTAAGGTAAGATTTGATTAGAAAAGGTCATGGACGAAGATATCATAGTAGATATTTTATGATTGTCATATTGAGTCATATATTTAAATAAATTAATAATGAAATATTACATATTAAGATAATTTCTGATATGAATTTAATTCATGATAACGTCTTAGTTAGCTATAATCATTTTTAAAATAGCATTAAGATTGATTTGTTTTGATGTTGTTAACATCTTACTTAGTTATAATATCAATCAAACAAACAAGCAAACAAAACTTGTATCACCTATATCATTTTCCTACTCGTCTAAACCTGATAATTTTCAAAGCACGTTGTTATAAGAAACAGCGCTTGAGCACAAAATTATAACAATTCTTTTCACTGTAGTTCAAAACCATACTCTACTTTGATTCATTTGTATACTAGATAGATTGAATGATGGTTAATTTTCTCCTCTTTTTTTAAAAAGAGAAAATACACATTTACGATTATTAAAGAATAATATTTGACATTGAAAACTCCCCAATATTCTTATATTATTGAGTATAAACTTATATATAAGCAGAATATAGACTAAATTATTTTTATAATGGTGGGATTATGTATTTAACAGAATATTTAAGATCATGGTAAAAAAAAAAAGTTGTTAAGATCTGATTCATTTGATTCTTCTAATATGTAACAATTTATTAATATTGCTGGTCTCTTTTTTTGATAAGACTGGTCAAAATATTTTACTAAAATCAATTAAAACTTTTTCAGCCATTGAAATATTATGTTGCAGCCAGAACTCTCTATAGAAGCTGAATCCAAGCTATACAGAAAACCAGCGACCACCGCCGTCTTTTTCATCTGCCGGAGATGTGTTCTGAACTCCGTGAAGCGACAATAATGGAAGGCAACAATGCTTATCTTCCCCATGAGATCATCATCAACATTCTGAAAAGACTTCCCGTAAAATCCCTAATCCGATTTCAATGTGTCTGCAAAAACTGGAAAAGTCTCTTGAAGGATGCCTTGTTCATTGCAGATCACCTCCACCACTCTAGTCATCGACCTTCTCTTCTCCTTCCACGATGCTATAACTACAGAAGGCAATTGCACTTATATTCATTCAATTGCGACTATCGATTCTGTAAATTTGATACCTCATCTTTAATCGATTACCTGTCGAGTTTAACAACTAATGTTGATCCGTATCTTTTTCGTATTGCCGGTTCCAGCAACGGCTTGCTCTGCGTATTAATCCTCGATTATTCTCTGTCTCCTCATAAGCTTCTAGTGTGGAATCCAGCTACTAAGGAGGTGAGAGAGGTACCCACCAGAACTCTTGATTTTAAGAGTCCCGATCGGTTCTCTATAGGATTTGGGTTCAGTACGATTGCTAATGATTACAAGATAGTTAATATTTCCGTTTCCAACAAAAATCGGGATTACCGAGGTCATGTAGATAGAGCGGAAGTGTATTCCTTAGGCACGGGGTTGTGGAAAGAAGTAGAATTTGGGAGCTTATTAGAGGGAACGCGTCTGTATTGTGGTAGTTCCACCGGTGATGGAATCGTTTTTTGGGTTGGGCAGAAGCAAAGTGATGGGAGTTTGATGATAGTCTCATTTGACTTAACAATGGAAGAGTTTAGATTCATACCAATGCCTCCTCTGGAGCCTATGTTAACTACTATTCCTACCTTTTATGAGAACAAACCAGCTATTATTTCTTACCATAAGAGGGGAACCTCTGAATCTGGTGTCATTCATTTGTGGGTGATTGAGGAGAATACTTGGACTAAAATATATAGCGGCTGCCGCTATCTCCATCCATACAATTTAATTCCACTGAACATTTGGAGGAATGAAATTGTTTTCAGAACGATGGAATTCACTGGGGGAATTGATGAGGGAAGAAGTTTATATTCCTTGAATCCAGCGACTAATGAATTTAAGAAGTTTGTTATCAATGATTTTTCCTTTTTTGTTGTTCAAATGTTAAATTATGTGGAAAGCCTTGTACCTATTGGCAACCTCCACATTCAAGAACCTTGATTCTAAATCCTAGTTATTACATTGTAATTTGTTTGATGAAAAGATCATCATTTGATTGTTCATATTTTTTATTTCGTTTTTCATTTGACTTGTAGATATGTAAATATTACACACACGCTTATTATCTAGGATCCATGGATTATACCAATAGTTTTATGTCATATGAAAGGTGAAGTAATTTTTTTTTAATTTTCTTTCCAGTTCATTTCAGATGGATTAGAATGAAAAGATATGTTCGTTTGTGGAATTGAATTCACTGAAGTTTAGATCATTTATCTCGAACAAATACAACAACAACAGAGCCTTGCTTAATACCCCAAATTTTCTGATTAAGGAAGAGCAGAAAAAAATTTGTTAAAATCATTTAGGGCCTAAATAAAATGGGAGAAATAATGGAATATTAGTTTTGAGGAATTATAAATTTTATGAAAAATTTTATTCCCCAAAATATATTAGATAATTTTAAAGTTAATTTTCAGAGCAAAGATAGCCTATTTTCATACAAAATTAAGAAAAAATAGTTAGATGTTTATTTTTGAGCTGAAGATTTTAGGGTAATTATTTTACAAGATAAAGAGGACAATTGAGGTATAAAATCCTTGAAATAAATTAAGGATTAATTTCTGGAATTAAGGGCTATTTTCTTGGAAAATTCAAGAAAAATAGCTAGGAGATGATTTTTGACCTGAATTTTTAAGGAAATTATTTTATGGGTTAAAAAAAACTAATGGATAAGGAAAAAATATATAAAATATTATGAATTACTTTCTAGATTTATTTTATATTTCAAAACATTAGAAGAAAGGATGAGATTGCAAATAAGAAAGGTTAAAAGGGCATAATGGTCATTTCATTACCTCCTACCCACTTAAAACCATCTGCCCCCGTCTTCCCAGTCTCATTTGCGACCTGTAACCAAAAATTAGAAGTATTCAACTATGTCTCATTCCTATCCTAGTCATTTTCAAAATGGGATAAAAGTGGGACAAGATAAAATTATTTTGGGACGGGACAGGACAAGAGTGTCCCGTCGCAGTCCCGTCCTGATATATTATCTTTCTTTTTAATTTTTATAAATTTATTTGCTTTATCACTTTAATAGTGTTATGGCAATCATATTTATCAATTTTTATTTTAATTATTTGTTTACAAGTTGTTCTATATGGATTCCATGATGTTCTTTTTAATGAACATTTTAAGTTTGTTTAAATTTCATTTCTCAATATTACAAAAAACATTTTTATTTTGCCAATTTTAATTATTGCCAACTTTTTTCCTAATTCTTATCTATTTTCTTTATATAGTTTTTATTATGAGTTCTTATATTCCATGTATGTTTAGTTTTCAAATTAAAAGAGTCAAAAAATATTCTAAAAAATAGACGGGATGTCCCTAGCTTGTTCTTCTTATATCCTGTCCCAATCAGGACAGAACGAGACACGAGACAGAGAAGCAAGAGGCTGACAGGGAGACCGTGGTGGTTGAGAGGTTGAAGGAGTTGTGTTTTCTCACATGCAAGCTTGGTTTTAGAGAGAGGTAAACGTTCTGATTCTTCTCCCATTCTTATTTCTTCATTCTCACAAATACAAGCTTGATTTAGAAGAGAGAAATCTGGTTTTAGTGAGAGAAAATGGAAGAACAAGGAAGATGGGCTTAGATTCAAGCTTGTATTTGTGAGAAATGAAGTTGCATGTGGTTGGATATTCTTGCAGGTTGTTGGCTGAATGTTTTGAGCATGATTCTCAAATCTCAAAATTTCCAGATTATTATATGAGGCCATACGAAGCTTGAATAAAAGAGAGTGGAAGCCCATATGCTTATAAATGTGATGAAATATACATGTGTATGCTCATATGGTGTTGAAGCTTGACAATTTTGGACTTGTGAGGCTGAAATTGTATAAAAAAGACTTATTATTATTAAGGCTCTTAAGTGCTGAATATTTACTATAGATGATTAAACCATGTTTAGAGATACTAAAATGATGATTTAGATGCTATTGAAAAAGTTGTAAATTTTAGAAGTTAAGTAAGGGCAATGTCTGAATTATTTAAGGGTGTAAACGCATCTAGAAGTTATTGGCTATACATGTATAAGTGGGTGCTAAAGTAATGGAAGTGATTAAAGGTTAGCCACTGTTAAAAAGATGAAAAAAAAAAGGGAATGAAATAGGGATGCTGTCCGAAAATTAAGGTAATTAAGAATATATCATTAGTGTAAGCTTGGAAGAAATTGGAGAGGGAAACGGAATTTATATTGGAATGTGTATATCTTTCAGTCAGAACAGGACATTCATTTAGACTTATGATTTCATAATTTTGATGCTTACACTAGCTTTTAAATGAAAAATTGCATAGGGTTCAAGTGAGAAAGAAAGGATAGAAGCATTAGAGATCAGAATGGAATTTTTGTGTGACAAGACCCTTATGTTCTGTTTTGATAAGTTGAAAAGGAAAGAGAATTCTTTTTTCTCAATTTGAGCTCAAAAACAGATTCTTCAGACAAAATTGTGTAGGATTGAATTGTTACTTCAATACTGCATATATTTGGATGGGTATAGGGTAAGGAGAAGAAGAAGGAGAAGAATGGGCGCTACCTCTATGCACCTTGTAATTTCATAAAGGTGGGGTATTAACTCCATGAAATTCATATCTTTTCAGCACATTTTCCTCCTTAAATTTCTATTTTTGTAGTTGAATTGTGCATAGAAGTGAAGCCATTGAAAAAATTGTGTTTAGTCTAACTTTTTTGGATATCTTGAGATAATCGTGATTATTTTGAGTCATTTAGTACTTACATATTTCTCATTTAAGCCAGAGGGTGGAGATGAGTGTTTTGAAGCTATTAGAAGACCTGTAAAGAGTGGAGTAGTTAGAAGAAAACATGGAAAAGCTTCGAGGACTAATGCAACAAACTCCCAATTTCAAGTGCATTCGATGTTGGTAAACCATAGCCAATGCAATAGCAAACGAAAGGAAAATTCAACCCGAGAGGGGTGAAATTTATGGCTATTGGTTGTTGGTTTACCATAGCCAACACATAGTGAATGAAGAAAATCTGCTGCTAGGCATTTCAATTATTGTCATGCTGCTAGGGTTAAAAGGAGAGAGAAATGTGATGGCTGGGCATTCTAGGCTGTTAGGGCTGTCTTGGGAGCTCTTTGGTGTGCCAAGGCAAGAGGTGGAGATTGAGTTGTGGTTTGAAGATTAGAAGAGATTTTGGCTTCAGATCTTGATTCTTCTTCTCCATTCTCCTTTCCCTTCCTTTTGTTCAATGTTTGTACTGAATATATATATTTTCTCATGGGAGTTCTGAACATGTGTGGCTAAAGCTTTGATTCTAGGATTATTTTGAACCCTTGTATGAATTAAATCTTGATTACTCCTCTCATTTTGTGAGTAATGACTTATATGAGTTTATTTTACTCTTGGCTTAAAGATTCTAAGTACTTGATCACCATTTAGCTGATTTGTTCACTTGATTGATGCTTGAGAAAGCTAAATTGGGTGTAGAGCTTGGGTAAATTTGTGTAAGAACTTGAAGTTTACTTGTTGAATGGATGATTTTGTTGGTAAAATAGAGATATACTTGCCAACCTTGCATAGTGACCTTAGGATTGGAATTTAAAATTAGGTTTTATTAATTGTAACAAGAAATTGAGCAATTAATGGAATTAAACATTTGTTCTTGACTTGAGAAAGCTTTTGCAAATACCTTTTGAATCCTAGACTAACACATTTATTGATTAAGAACATTTATGAGAAGAGGTAAATTAAATGTTATTAAATACAAAGGGGATAAGTAATCTTAGATCCCAATTTATCTTTGAAGTCCAAGAATCATTTGCTTTTATTAGTTTCTAATTTTATAAATATTTTTTTCTTCATTCTTCATACTTGTGTCACTCAAATTAGGCAAAAGTGTGATAATCAATACTTGACCGGGTTTTAAAACCAAATCCTCGTGAGACTCATCACTTTATTACTTGTTACGACCCATGCACTTGTGGTGCGAACATGGGGTACATTTTTCCTTTGTTTTAATCTCTCTTTACTTTGTCTCTTCATAAATTACTTTAGTCCACCAATATTTGTGATGCAATAGTAGTGTCATCAATTTGTCATATATGTATATGTGTATATACACGCCACCTCCAGTTTTTAATATTAGAATTAGATAACTAATTTGTGAAAATTAAAGAAATTAGCTTAGTTAAGTTGGTCATTTGTCACAAATATAAGCTAGTTTTCCTAAATTATCATTTTTAATCATGTATGAGATGATTGAAATTATCTCTTGGTGGGAACACCTTACAATCACCAGGGATATTTTGGAACAAAGATGGGAGACAAAGTAGATTGAAGTCTTATAGTTAGGATCAAATTCAACTTGCAACTAACTTTTATATGAAGGACTGAAGGTAGTGTATATATATAACACTCGAACTATATGTGTTAAGAAATCGTACATATTGTGTCCCTTCTTTTTGTTAAGAAGTGGTACGCATGCATTGTTACATGGTGTCCCTTGTAACAGTACACTTATCGGCCCCATAGTTAGTTGCAGTAACCAATTTGTTTTAATGAAATAAGTTCGATTTAAATAAGATCATATTGCTAGGCACTTTTCTCACTTCTTGTCCCCGTATATGTACTTGCGAGCTTTTTATGTGTATTCTGTATTATTAACTCATCAAATAAATGTGGACTTTTCATATTAATTGACCCTAATATGTTACAATAATGTAAGTACGTATAAATTTCATATAATGAAAAGAAAATGAATTAGATTAATTAATTGCTTCATTCATATTAATTATTTTCAGTATGGCCTCTAGTGGCATTAGGCTTGGAACCCAAATTTGAATTGCCAGGAGTTGATGAAATGAACGTTATGATCTGCAATGGCCTAGTAGGAACTTTCTCCTGTGATTATCCCTGGTACATACGTGTGAGCCTGTATATATACATACATATTTTACGAATTTTAAGTCAACTGGCCATTGTTATATTATTCCTAATATTCATAACTTGTATAATTTATAGTTATATATATTTTTAATACACTAATAATGATTAATTAGCAAAAAAATATGATGAACAGGGGAGTAGGAGTTGCTTGGACAACGGCAACAATTGGCTCCTCTCTCTCCATTCCGAAGGTTATGTTAGAGGATAGGCTCCTTCATAAACACCACTACTCACTATTCTATGCTTTCGGCTCCCTTTTAGTAACTAATATTTGCTCTCTCTCTTTTTCCACATTTAACCTACTTCCGTTCAAATCCCTGAGTTATTAATGTTATATTCATTACGACTTAAGTACTACCTCCAATATTTAATACTACCTCCACTAGTTAATATAAAAGCTAAATAGCTAAATAGCTAAATAACTAATTTGCATATGTTAAGAAAATTAGTTAAATTAATTATTTGTAATAAATAGATGTTATCTTTTCTAAAATATTTATATTTGTTAATCAAATCATTGACACAATGCTTTCAATTACTATTGAGATTATTTGAGGGCAAAATAAATAAATACGAGAGATAAAGTAAAATTGGTCTTATACCTAGGACAAAATTAAATCTCTAACTAGTTTTTATATTAAACATTAGATGTAGTATAAGAACTAGATAGATGATTAATTAATACGGGGTTATCAAGAAAATTAGTTAAATTAATTATTTATAAAAAATATATATTGATTTTCTTAAAATACTCTTCTGATCTTAAATATAATGTAAGACTCGTTTTATATTGTAATTTTCTAAAGGATAAAAGAGTAAATTTACCTATTGTAATGTCAAAAAAGAGCATCAAGCACCGTAATAAAAAGTTGGGTGCAAAAATACATGTGAACATTTCAAATCAAAATGAGGCATAAATACTATCTCCTTTAATTTTCTTAAACGATAGTTACTTTTTGATTTTGTGGGACCCACTTTGTCCTCTACCTCAGTGCTCTCCAATTCTTCATTCTCTTACCTTTCTTGTTCTCTCTCTCCCCCCTTCCTCTCTTTCTCTTCTCTCTGTCTCTCTCTCTCTTATTCTTCCTCTTATTCGTTCTGTTTTTTTTAATATTTTGTTAAATTTTTTTTAGAACTATATATTTAAAAATTATTTGAATAAAATAATAATATTTATGACTATGATATTAGAAAATGTAAAATTTACAAATAAAATAAATTTGTACTTAAATTTTGACCGTCTTTAATTCGTTGTATTATTATTATTGACTTCAAAGTCACTTTAATTAATTGTGTGTGTGTGCATATATATATATATATATATATATATATAAATACACGTATTATCAGTATTAGATAAGAGACGACCAATGTTTCTGTCCTTTCTTTGTCTCTCTTTCTCTCCCTAATACTAAGGATCATACAATGAACACCTTCATCAGAATGCCTTATGTCTTCATTTGATGCTTTGTAAAAGAATAGCTTCGTTGGACGCAGCAACTTGATCTCTTCGGTCAAGACGTCAACATACTTCGTGGCCCTGTAGTGCATTTATATTCACACATGCACATACTCTTTGTTAATTAACTTCAAACACTTCTTCTTCCCCTTCCCTTTTTTGTCTCTCCCTAGCTCTCTTACGTTCTCACACTTCCTTCAGTTATCTTCCAATAGCTGCCAAGAGACCATTAAGCCTGCAACACCTTACTTTTATATATATTAATAGATTATTTTAATATCTATGTAACGTCAGGTGTCCTACAGGGAAATTTTTTTTTTCCTTTAATATTAGAAACCGTTGATCAAATATTTCAAACCTTT